CTGAGAACATTTTGCACCAACACTGCCTGAGCGACCACGAATCGGATGATTTTTATTGTGATAAACACTAAGTAACTAATTACTTGAGCTTTAATGGGTACATAAATGCAATTAAAAAATAACATGTGCCTTTACCATATTATTATACCATATTAAAAATAACATATGCCGTTACCATAGGATTACGCTTAGATTTAAAAATATTAATTTATTGACTTTTTTATGACTATATTTTTTATGATTGTGCCTTGCAGAGTTGGCCGTCGATTAGAGTAATCGATTACAACTGTAATTGATTACAGATAATTACAGCTATGTAATCAATTACTTGTAATCACGATTGCAAGTAATCAAAATTTCTGATTACATCGGAGTAGAGCGAAAATGTAATCGATTACATTTTTCAATTACAGTAATCAATTACTTGTAACTATGATTACAAGGCTTGATTACAGCTGTAATCATGATTACATAGTCGATTACAGTAATCAATTACTTGTAATCGTGGTTACAACTTTCAAAAAATTTTGATGACAGCTGTAATCATGATTCCGAGTAATTGCGATTACAAGTAATTACAACAAAAGCGATTACGGGTGATTATGATTACAGGTAATCAAAATATATGATTACATGCAATCATGATTACATGCAATTTGGTTACATGTAATTGTGATTACTTGTAATCAAACTATACGATTACAAGTTATTACGATTGTATACTATATGCAAATTCATTATGTAAGTATGTATGAGTTTACATATTTTTATGTACATAGAATGCACGCATGAACGTACAATTTGTGATTCTTATATATACAATGTATGCACAAACGTTGTTTGTACATACAATATACATAATTATATAGTAATATACTTAATGAAATGCGTATATGCTTAGTACATATACATTTATGATACATGTAGGCATGTATGTTAGTTTGTAAGAAAATGTTTTGTATCTTTGTATACATAGACAATATATGTATGAACCTATATAAAAATAATGTTTATGCGTTTACATGTTTTTATGTACTTAAGTACATGCATTGTATAAATTTACGATAATAGCACGTGTATACAATGTACGTATGTATAAAAGATTGTACGTATTTACCTACAATATGTAAGAATGTTGTTTAAAGGTACAATATATGCACATAGTTGCATAAATAAAATGCATATATGTATGCATGCACATTTATACAAAGTATGTGCATTGCAAAGTATGTACTTATGTACAACGTACGTATGTACTTGTATAACTACACACTTTGTTAATACTTATGCGCATGTATTGTATGGATGTACAAAAAAAGTAGTTATATGCACAATGTACGTTGTACATACAACGTATACATGTACATAATTACAAGTAATGTATAAATACATGCGTACACTTAAATATATGTAATTACAATACACACATGCATTGTGCATACATCAAAAAAATTTATGTAAGTAAAGTTATTAAAGTTTGTTTTAAAATTTATTCTACGGAATATAAAACTCGACCTCATATTTTTTAGAAAGCAAACGATAATCTTATTTTAAATTTCTAAATATTATTTCCACACATAAAATTTACTGTTTTTTTGTTATTTAAAAAATTTCTATGAAACATGCATTATGTTATAAAAAAAAATCTGTATTGTCAAACATTTCATGAAAATACCTGAAAATAATTTCTTATTCAAAGAATTTTAAAATGATATAGAACAATTAAAGCTGAAAACTAAATTTAAATATCGTTTGATTTTGTCATTTAACTAGCCTGAGTCATTATAAGTTAACTTACATGCATTTTATTTATTGTATTGTACACATATTTAGACATAAATGAAATGCACATATGTATGCGTGTAATGTATGTACAATGTATGTACATACATTCATGCATTGTACATGCATGTATAGTACATACGGATATGCATACATGAAACATACGTGCATTGTACATGTGTGGATACATTCATTGAACATACATACTTTGCACCATATCCATAGATTGGGATAGCATGCATATACACATGTAAAATTTGTACGAAAGAATTATGTCCAATGTATTTATGCACATATGTACTGTATATGTACACACATATGAACATTATATGTTCATTTTATGATATGTACATTATATGAATATACATCTGTACACTATATGTATATACTTCTGTACAATATATGCATCTCAAATGCGTGTATGTACATATGTTACTCATGTCGAATGTATGTATGAATATATGTAAAATATAAATACGCCCAGCGTGCGTACAATCGTACACAAATGTATTATGCATATTTGGATACATTGAACATGAACATACTGTGTATATGTACATCCATACATTGGACATGCATATCATGTACATGTATGCATACATATACTGTACATACTACATGTATACCTATATTGTACATGTATACACATATTATACTGTTCATAAATAAATTGTATATGCATGCCTGGGACATACATTGTATAGACAATGTATGTATGCTTGTACAAACAACAAGTACTTGTATATACATGCGTACATGAATATAGATATACATTTTACATACACAAATATTTGCATAAAATGCATATATTTATTGTGTATAAATGTACATGTCTACATTGTTTGCACATACATACGTAATTATTAGCTATATACATACGTACATATATTTTGTACTTACTATATAAGTGTATGTACATGTGTGTGAAACTAAAATGTCTGTACATATGCACTATATGAAATCATATGTTCATATACTTTAGTTGCATTCCTTTGTACGAATACAAATACGTACAAAATGCAATACATGTAAATACGTGCAAAATGTATCATTATAAAATGCATTACGCTATCTACTGTAAAATATAATCATTTATAAGAATACAATAGTCTTGTAATCGTGTATTTCGATTACATGTAATCATAATTGCATGCAATCATAATTACATGTAATCAAATTACATGTAATCATGATTACATGTAATCATATATTTTGATTACTTGTAATCATGATTACCCATAATCGTTTTTGTTGTGATTACTTGTAATCGCAATTACTTGGAATCTTGATTATAGTTGTAATCAAAATTTTGATTACAGCTGTAATCAAGATTACAAGTAATTGATTACTGTAATTAATATTGGAATCATGATTGCAAGTAATTGATTACTGTAATCAATATTGTAATCATGATTACAACTGTAATCAAAATTTTTTGAAAGTTGTAATCACGGTTCCAAGTATTTGCTTACTGTAATCGACTAGGTATAGCTGTAATCAAAATTGTAATCACGATTACAAGTTATTGATTACTGTAATTAATATTGTAATCATGATTACAGCTGTAATCAAAATATTTGAAAATTGTAATCATGATTACAAGTAATTGATTACTGTAATCAAAAAATGCAATCGATTACATTTTTGGCCAACTCTGGTGCCTTGATTCGTAGAAATTATGTGGGTTAAACAATTGTGAAGTATATTTAAGCAATTTTGATTTTGCTTAAGTGTTTAACGAACAATTGTGAAGAATATTTAAGAAAAATCAGTTTAGTACAAATTGTTTTAGGACATTAGTACAATATTTTAGTACATATCAAGTGTATTTTAATTTTGACTTCTAAAGAATGAAAAAAAAATATTGAAGTTCTGGAGAAACTTCTACGCCACTTTAAATAGACGTGGAGACAAATTTTCTTTCTTTCTTTTTCTCTTTTTCAGGATCTGAAATTCTGATACGCAATATGTTATATACTTATTTTTTTTAAATATATCTGATGTCAAGTATATTAATTCTAATTAACCAGTCACTAGAGCGCAAAAACTTCTACTGATACATGAAGCGCGTGATTTAGTTGTTCAAGATTTTCCGAGCTCAACGATTGAACCATGGTAAACTTAAGTATAATCGAAATATTTCAATGGCAGACTCACGCTTTTTGCTATAAAACTTTCTGCGATAATCTAAAGAATGTTTTGTTTTTATGTTCACATGTTTCTAGGCGATAGTGAAATTTAAAATGAAATTTCCCCATTCTAAAATTTCTGACTAAATTTACCGTGAAAAATCTTTCCCAAAAAGTGTATAATCTGGCAACTATGCTACAGAAAATAATCACTGAAGTTTATCCCTCATTCCTATATCTAAAAGAAGAAGATAAAAAAATTAAAAAAAATTAATAAAAAAATTATTAACTGAAATTTCCTTATCTTGGAAATCATTTGTCTTGTAATTTAGTGATATGATGCATTATAGTGATATGATTTGGTGATATGAGGCATAACAAAATAAATGATGCATTAAAATCTATAATTATTTTCATTTAATTATAACTTTACTTTATCATCAAATTTTTAGCAAAAAGTTTATCCATTCCACTGGTAGTCATGCTCTTCAGATATTATAATTGCTCAGATATTTATCTTTATTGTCATGCAAATGCGAAATAATAGTATGATTTATTGTTATAACAATATTAATAATAATCCATAAATAAAATTTTAAAGTCAAAACAAAATTATATAAAGTATATATAAAAAGTCGTAAAGCTATCATTCCTTATTAAAAATTATTGAGGAGCCTGTAACCCTCTTTGAAGCATGCCCCTTCATGCTGCATAATACTTTTATTGATGTTAGTTGTCAACTAGAAAACTGAATCTTATTTTAAAAGCGATAAAAACGAGTGCCCCACAAAAAATGAGGGATGAAAAATAATTTGAGAAGTCGTGGAGGGGGTCCCCAAAGGACTCGAAGACAACCGTTTCCCTTCAAAATTTGTATAACAGTTATCTACAGGGGGGAGGTCTTTTGGGGGTTGAAGGCAAGTGTGGCCCTTTTCCTTTCCTCCGTTTGGAGTATGTCTTCCAAACAACTGGCGCATGGCATCTGCGACTAAATAAGAAACACGAAAAGAATAATAAGAAAAGAAAAAAATAAATATATTAAAGATGGAGTAAGAAGAGAAGGGAAAAACCTGCGCAACGTCTTGCCATTGAAGAAATGTGTAGATCTGGGGGAACAGGGGATAGAAAAACTTCTCCTCAACATCCTTCGAGTAGCAGCTGTCATATAAGGAGAGGGGGGGGGATCAAAAGGGGGGCATCTGAGATGCTGCCGGCCACGTGGAGCACAGGCCGATTAGAAAGCGGCAGCTGCTGTAGACGACCTACTCACTTTATTCTGGATCTCAAGACGACGTCAAGGCAGAAGCTCACGACACTTACTCCTGTTTAGGTGTCAGTAGCACCTCTTTGGCAAAGAAGAGTTTTCTGTTTATTATCGAGAGAGACTCCGTATGGAACAGACATAAACTTTTGCTCTCTCTATTAACATTCATATGGTACTGAATCACCTTTGCCTAAAGTTTATTCTCCAACAAAAGTTTTCTATTGAAACTTCGAGTTCTAAATATTGGACTATCTTGTGCAGCAAACCATCTTCTTGGATAATTGGATTGTTACTTTAACTACCGGTGTGTTTGAAATATTCCACGTGTTTTTCAAATGATTACATTGCGGTGTAAATGAATTCAAAATCTTAAATTGAATAATTGGTGTTTAGAGTGATTTTGTTTTTAGGTGTAATCTGGTTTTAGTCTTTTTTTTTCTTCTTTCAAATACAAGATGTGGCTGTTGACTGTGATAGTTTTTGCGATTGTGTCTATGTGTTTGCAGGCGTTTGGAGAAAGTGTTGACGAACTGTCTCTTGGAGTTTTAATGAAAGAATTGCAAGATGAAATGAGAGAACTGCGAAGGATTCGTCAACAAGATAGTGAGGCCATTCATAAATTGCAAGAAGAAGTTTACAAATATGTGAAAAAGGATGTGGGAAGAATTCCTCAAGAGGAAAAGAAGAGCATTAAAGATCTGTCTGATCGCTCTGAAGAAGATTCTCAGAAAAATTTGGAGGCGATGATCAATGAACAAAAATCTCTTTCCGGATCTAAATTGCATCATTTTATTCACCAATTTCCAAATTTCAAGACAGATAAGATAGATGCGAAGCAGGAAGCAAATTTTCTGAAGCAGGAACTGCTTAGACTAAGCAAAGAAATGGCTGAAATGAAAGTTCATCTGTCTAGTGGAGTATCAATGTCTTCAGGGAGAGTGGCTGTACGCTGGTTGCAAAACACAGTTGAAGGACTGCGACGTGAAATGAAGGAGATGGCTATGTCACTTAATACTAGTGCAACTCTTGCGGAGAAGCAAAGGACCTTAGCAACGTTGACTTTGTTAAAATCAGATGTTAGATCCATGGAACATCGCATGGATGGTGTAAAAGTGGATTGGGAAAGAAACGCAGCTCTTATTCAACAACTCAGAAGGGACGTAGATGAGTTAAGATTGAGGACTCAGGAATCGGCCGCAGGACAACAAAGAATCTTAGTGGAAGTAAGTACAAATTAATGTACTCTTTAGTTCCTCTTTTTTATCGGCTAATTAGTGAGACTAGTAAACAATTAGTGAGTAAACAATATTTCAAGAGGAAAATTGAAATTCTTTGGAAAATGAAATATATTATTCAGCAATTAATGCACTTTAAAGTATTTGATAATATATTGAAAGTTATTGCGTGGTTCTAAGAATACAGAGCACTTTCAATTTCAATTTTAAAAAAAAGTATTTACGAAGCATATTAATGCTAGTACAATTACGAAATAAAATTCTTATTCAAAAATATTAAAGAAATAAAAGATGCATTATTATTCATTAAGAATAAATATGAAATGGATTACTTTAATATTAATAAAACGTAATATTATACTAAAAAAATCAGTTTTAGTTACACGAATCAATAAATTAATCATTTAATAAATTACAATGATTGACTAAATAAAAAGTTGACTTTTTTAGATATTGTTACGGTTTTTTCCTAGATTTTAAGAACTTTTCTGAGTTTATTTTCATTTTTCATCTCTTATTTACAAGCATTTTGCACTGAAATATAGCAATTTTAAAACCTATTCAGATTAATGCCTTTTGTATTCATTAAGTTTTTCATAACAAAAGTTTATTGATATTTCAAATCACTTCGTTTAAAATTTAAAAAAAAGTATTCTCTTTCGAATTAAATATGGCTAAAAAATGTAAATATAGTCATCATAGATAACTAAGAATCTTTCAAGGTAGACGACAATTTGTTAAAGAAACCTATAAATTAAGCAAAATTAAGAAGAAAAAAAAGTTTAGAAGACCGGAAAAAATTTAAATCTAAATAATTATTATCATGTTAACATCTAGTTGCTTAGTTAACATTCCAAATGTAACAAAGAAAAAAATGAGCTATTCTAAGAAAACATCAAATATATTAATTTGCCCGTGATGTAAGTTATAATTAGAGTCGGTCCTCAGGGTAAATCTTCTTTAGATCTTTGAAGGTTAGTCACCGTCTCTGGCCTTCAAATAAAATTTCATTTGATTGAAGAGGAAAAAAAATGCCCTGGGAAATAAAAGAAATCACGTTAGTAATCAAAATTGGGACTCAGAAGAAGGAAGTTCACGATGTTGAAATGAACAAGAAAAACCATGACTGGCATTGTTTGATTTCATGTTTTAACAAGATTGGGAATGTTAAGAATTTCACTTGGTGAAGTTTGGACAAAAAGTAAAACTCAATTAATTTGCTTAAAATTGATTTTAGAATTTGTATAAAAGATCTGACAAGATGGGTGTGCAAAAGCTATGTAGTATTAATCTACTCACAAATCCATTCATATTTCCTTGTCCCAATTTTTCATTCTTCTAGATATGAAAACTGACAACGCAAACTAGTTGCCGAGTTATTTTTATCTAATTTCAACGATTCAATCTTTTCAGTTGTAATTTTATTATTTTCTTCATTACTATTTTGTTTTTTTCAAAATCATTTTATTATTGAAATATTTTGCTTTCTTACTTATCTTATTTACTTTCTTCAAAATCACTTTATTATTGAAATTAATGTTGATATTTTGAATAACTATGCGAGGCTTAAATGATAAGCCTTATGCAATTTTCTTACTATAAAAACATTCTTCTAAATTTCTTTTTTAAATACGAATTTGGCTTAATTGGTAAAAGCGTTCGAAACCTAATAATGATTTTATGCATCGTCGAATCATTAATATCATAATCATTAACGATGATATAATAACCATCATCAATTACACCATAGTGCAACATTTGTTATTTAATAAATGCTTTTTAAAACTTTTCATACATAAAATAAAAAATTCTTTTTCTTAAATATAAAAGAATTTTTTTCTTGTAATTATCCATATGTTTTTTTTTTCAAAAATATATTCGTAATATTAAGAGTTAACAAAAATATAATTTATTCGAACACCTATTTTAGTTTAAAGACAAGATTTAATTTAAATATAAGATTATTTTAGTTTAAATATGATATTTCAGCAGTTTAAGTACTGAATAAATAAGTTTATCATGTTTTGCAGCATTTATAGAAATTATCAATAAACTTTTAAATTTTTGCTTAATTATTCAATAATTTGTCTATGCAATTAATATATTTAATAATAATGCAATTAATATATTTTTATTATATTATGGGATTCCACTTAAAATCATACCATATCGCCAATTATTTTTAAAGAATTTTCATCCGAAGCATAAAACACTGTAAGCTTATGAGATTATAAGCCTTCTTTGCAATAATGGTGTTTTTTTATACATGATTGAGAAGAGTTGTATTTTTCCTTAGAAAGATAAAACTAATTGTAATAAATATTTTTTGCTAAATTTTTATATTTTAAAGGAAGTAATTTTAAGAACACGGAGAGGAAAAATTCTTGTAAAATTACCGTACTGTACGGTAACAACAATTCTGTCAAAAAAAGAAAAAAAAAACATAATTCGGTTAATAAAACCAAAACATATGGTACTTAAGCTATCCATCTCGTAATTTTTCTGAACATATGATAACGGTTTACGAAAATTCTGGTTATCAAAATTACAGTTCTCATTACCACACATTTATTAAAAAATACATGACTGAAAAGTAAATTAAACCAAATAAATTGTTTTTATGTCATGCTCTAATAAAATTACCTAATTTTACCAAATTAACCAAATTTTATCACATATTATTAAACTACATTTTATTATTAATTTTACGAAAATCATTTCCAAAGAGCTTCAGTAAAAATTACCGAGCTCTTTGGTGTTTCCATCGAGCCAGAAACACTGTAAATTTCATCATCATTTTCTGGTAGTGTGGACAATAATTTTTTTCTCAGTGAACAATTAAAAAATTTTTAAAGTATTTTTCTACCAAACCGGTTATTTAAAGTTAACTCAGTTCATAAATTTTTACACTGAAAAGTGTTCCCTAAAACTCGAGAAGAATCTTTAACTTAAAAATATTATTATTAAGAATTTTTTGAATTCCTGGAGCAAAATAAAAAATAAAAAAAGAAAATAACTACGCGTCGAAGCAATAGTTCATATAATTAATGCATTATTATATTCTTAACTTAATGTGTGAATTGGTTATTATATTTATACTTCTGCATCTTTTTTCTTTGAAAAAGAAGAGTACCGAGCAGCCGGAAAATGTGTGACAGAATTGGGCAATTATAGCCTTCGGGCAATGTGAATAACGATTATTACAAGATGGCATTTTTTCCCTCTCTGTTATTCATATCTACTTAACGTTTTATTGCTTTTTATATCCTACATTAAATAATTCCTTCAGTGGTTGAATTTTATTTTCATTTTGTTTTGTCCAGCATAATATAAGACCTTTTTATATATTCTATTTCTTGATCCAATGCAGTATGAAATACATAACTGAAAAGTAAATTTAACCGAATAAATTGTTTTTATGCCATGCTCTAAAGTGTCGTGATAAAATTTTCAAATTTTATCACATATTATAAAACTACATTTTATTGCTAATTTTACCAAAATCATTTCCAAAGAGTTTCAGTGAAAATTACCGAGCTTTTTTGGTGTTCCCATAGAGCCAGAAACACTGTAAATTTCATATATTCTGCCAATGCTGACAATACTGTTTTTCTCAGTGAACAATTAAACAATTTTTAAAACAGTTTGCTAATCAAACCAGCTATTTAAAGTAAACTCAAATCATAAATTTCTACCCTGATAAGTCTTCTCTAATACTCAAGAAGGATGGTTAAATAAAATTAACTTAAAGATATTAATATTGAAAGTGTTATAAATTTCATGGAAAAAATTAAAACAAAAATTATTGTAAATAACTACTTGTCGAAGCAGTAGTTTTTATAATTCATGCAATATTATATTATTAACTTAATGTATAAATTGGTTTTCATATCTTTACTTCTGTTTCTTTTTTGTTTGAAAAAGAAAAGTATCGAGTAGCCTAAAAATGTGTGACAGAATTGGGCAATTATAGCCTTTGGGTGAAGTGAATAACGATTATTACAAGACGTCATCTTTTTTCTCTCTGTTATTCTTATCTCCTTAACGCTTTATTACTTTTTATATCCTCCGTGAAATAACTCCTTAAATAGTTGAATTTTATTTTCATTTTGATTCGTCGAGCATAATGTAAGACCTGTTTATATATTCTATTTTTTGATACAATGTAGTATAATTGAGAAATAATGATAGTAGTAAAGTGAGATGAAACAATATAATGTGTAAGTTTAATATTGGTGATTGATTACATGCATATACGTTTTGTATGGTTTCTAAAAGTCATTTTTTTTTCAGGTTGACTCTCTTAAAGAAGAACTACGTGAACACATATTGTTATCAAAAAAGAAAGTAAGCATATTTTTTAATAACTTGAATTTTAATGCTTTGCCAATCTTGAGTCTAACAGTTATATAATGAATGCAATCAAGTAATACGTTTTTAAATACGATGAACGCAAGTAATACGCGTAGTTTACAATCATGAAAGAATTTATGAATGAAGGGTAAAGTTTATAAACGGCTTTCTAACCATAAATGTAACCTCTGACTTATAAACTGTCTTTCTATAAAAGAAAGAAAGCCAATTAAATGATTTACTCCAAGTTTGAGTTCGTATGTTAAGTTCTACAAATATTACTAATACGAATGATTCTATTTATTAAATTTTTTTATTGTGTAAAATTGAAATTAATATTTTTTGAGCAAATTAAATAATATACTATAAGTAAAATACTAAAATACTATAAGTTTTCTGATTTTAATAAACTTCTTTTCTTTTCCTGGGTTAATGTTTCCAACGTTTTTCCCAAATATTATTATTCGTAAATTGTTTTTAATAGATGGCAGCACAGAAATATAAATTCTTACATTTTTAATAATTTTTTTATATAAATACCAGATAAAAGCACATTATTTATTTATTTTTCTTTTTAAAAATTTTGTTAACTGTTTAGATAAGTGAATTTATTTTTAACGAATATTTTATTTTATTTTGCTTTATGTTCGCAAGTTTGTTTTCTTCTTTCTTTCTTTCTTTCATTTTAAACTCACTTACAATAATGTTATAATTTCTTTTTTTTTCTTTTCTTTTTTTTCTTTGAGGCATGCATTAAAAAGAGTAATTTTTATCTTAGGATAATTATTATTTATTTCGAAATGCCTTTGGCGTAAAAGAACCTTTGTGAATGCATCCTGAAGAGAACCTTTGTGATTATTTCATCAATTTTTTTTATATTTAAATTTCTATTATGTCTCTAATATTATATAAGAGTGTATATACTTTCTATCTGAGCTTAACTAGAAAAAATAAATTTTAGCGAGTAATTAATTCAGAACTAATTCAGTACTTGCCTAAAATCTTTTTCTTTAAACAACAAAAAATCTAAATTGTTAAAAAATGAAGAAATTTCAAAATTATAATTTTATAATGATGATTGAAATTGTCTAACTTTGTTCAAAATTAAAACAAACAGTTGGTGACACAATTATTGTAATTAATTTGCATGTTTTTTCTTTACAGGATACAGTTTTTAATCACCATAGTTTGAAAAAAGACACTGATGTTCATAAAACAGGTAAGATACTAATAAATGACTTGTTTTAGATATAGGGTAATTTTTCGTTTTAAATTCTTATTCCTAGTACTATTTAGTAAAATCTTTAATATTCATTACACTTTGTTTCCCTTCTAAATAAAAATATTTAAATGTATTCTATAACTTAAATGTAACAAACTTAGATTTTAATAAAAATTATATATCCTTTAAAATTAAATTAATTCTGTTAATAAATCTTTATTTGGCTTGATATAAATGGTCGATAATTAAAACTGTTAATTGTCCTAACTTCGAAACTGTAAACTATTCGCAAATAAGTGACATTCAAATATTTTTCTTTCAAACTATATCCATGACATTTTCTAAATCTACATTTGGTTTTCTGTATAAAAGAGATAAAGGCTCGGTTATTAAAGCTTTCACTTGACTTAACTTCAACAAAAACGTATTTAAGTTTTTTAATCGCAAATAAGCAACATTCAAATATTTTTATTTCATGAAATGTTATAACTAATAAAATTTTAAACTTCGTCTTATTATTGTAGGAGAAGGAGATCATCACAGATTCCGACATGGCCAATGGAAGGCAGAGATAGAAAATTTGCACGATTCAGTTGTAAATCTTGAATTTCTTCAAACGGAAATAAGTGAAAAAATGCGCAACCTCCAGAAAACGCAAGCAATGTCTGATTTCAAATTAGTGTCACTGGAAAACTCTTACAATGATATAATTAACAATAGTGAACCATTTGACATAGAAAGAAGAATTTTAGAACAAAGATTAGATGTTTTAGAAAGCTTAATGAATAAAACTGAGGTCCAGACTTTGGATATTCAATCAAAAGTAAACAATATTACATCAACTGGAATTCACAAGCTTCATGGATCTACAATGCAACTTTTTAGCGCACTGGAGCGTTTGGAGCGTAACTACGATAGAACAACAGAAGATATTAGAAAAGAAATCTCTAAATTAGATTATAATTTTTCACAAACGCAATCCGATTTGGGTGAGCTAAGTGACAGACAAATTTCTTCCGAGCAGGTGGCATCTAATCTTAAAAATGACATAACTAATATTGAATCTGATCTACAAAGTAATCATTTAAGACTTCTTTTGGTTCAAAATGCTGTGTTAAACACAACTTTCCAACCCAATCAACAAATTGCTCAAGATTCAAGAATTTCTGATTTAGAGTCGAAAATTCAATTACTTTCAGAAAATGTAGATGCCGAAAAATTGGAAATCGAGGTTTTACATCGACAAATTGTTGAAAAAGTAGACGATAAAGATTTTAACAAATGGGAAAGAGCTCAACATAAAGTTAGAGAAAGCATTTTACAATTCAAAGAGGACATTCCTCTCATCAAACATCAGCAAGAAGAAATGGAAGAAGAACTTGAAAAGTTCATACATCAGCTACCTCGAGGTAAGAAAACTTGATTTTTTATGATATTTCATAATTTTATTTTGCAGCAGAATAATATATCATTTCATATCTATGTCTAACTAGTTTTCGCTCCGATTCTGGAATCGCAATAAATCAGGCTAACTTTCAATATATATATTTATATATTACGTCGTAGGAAGAGAAGTTGACTTTAATTCTATACAAGTTAGAAGTTTATATCTTTTTTTAATGTAAAAGAATTTACCGAATGAGTTTCAGAATTCAAATTTGAAATCGATATGAGATTTTTTTAAATTTTTTTTTTTAAAATCAGGAATTTTTCAATGTAAAACACGATTTTCTAGCCCAAATAAGACAGATTTGTGTAGAAAATTTAACTACACGTTTTTTTATGAGAATGAAGCGGAAATAAAAGTTGATAATTAAAATATGCATCACTATGCAGTGTAAAGATAATTACAGTCAATTGCAAGGTACATTGATCTCACATGAACTTGCAAAAGTATAAATACCACAATAGTCGTGGAAATATGAGCACCATCTTCTTTATGATACAATTCTAATAGAAGTCTTTAAAAGCTGTCTAATATCAATTAATTTAAAAAGTATACATTTTATGAATATCTGTTTGGACTGTATACAGACATGAACAATCACGTAAAAAAATTTGACATTAATTGCGTTAAATGTTTTTAATATAATTAATTAATTTTTTGTCCTAAAAGAAGTATATATTACGAAGAATATGTTAATATATTAACAAGTACTCATCACTTGTTTAAAACAGCTAAAGATTTAATTGAGAATAAAATCGATCTTAAATTTTATGAGAAAAAATTGAAAAAAGGAAGTAATTGCTACAGAATAACATAAAGATGTTTCTAAGCAATGAATAAATAAATATATATTATAATGAAAATGTAAATTGGTAATGCATGAATTAATTGTAGTTACGAAATACAAATTAAAAAATTAGTTACAAATTTGAGAAATGTAACAACATGAATTAATTTATGACTATGTAAAAGGCTTATAAAGGAATTAAAATTTCTTTCATAATAAATGTATCTTTATTTTAGTATGTATCTTTTGTATGTATCTTTAGTATGTATAAATGTATCTTTTTGCTTAGTTATTATCGAATTTAATAAAACTCGAATTTTAATATAAAATTTTACTGTGCCACATAAAGCATAATTAAGTCCGAGAAACAAATTATCTGTGTCTAGATTTGCGAAACGAAAAAGTGAGCATTGAAGATTCGAAAAACATTTGTTTTAAGGCATACATATTCGAAAAAAATGCTAATAAAAACATAAAAATAAAATGACGGAACCAATAAGTGAATTGAATATTAGATGGGAGTGAAATCCCACGGTACTGAAATCTTAACCAACTTCTCAACCACCAATAAGTTGAAGTTGAAGCAATGGATTTATTCAAAGGCGGTACTTAAGATATCGGTTTTTTAATAACTTTCTTGTTACCCAGCGGCATAGATCTTCTCAAAACGTCATTTTCAAGAGTGTAATATTGCCTCATCTGTACAGAAAATGCGACAAATGATAAATGCACAATTAATGATAGGATGAAAAACTGCCCGCAAGGTGATAGTTATTAGCGGGCTATTATCGGAATGTTAGCATGACGACACAGGACAATTCTTTCTTCGCCCGCGTCACTATTAAGAAATTTTTACTTTTAAGAAACATTATGATTGATGTTATTCATTCTTAACAATTGATATTATTCAAAGTGAAACATCAATATATTTAAAAAGCATCTCTTTATATTTTCTTATTCAGCGATAAGCAAATTATAATAAAATAATAATTTATATAATAGTTAATGAGATAAACTGATTTGACATTACTAATAACAGTTATTTAAGACAATCATTTACTTACCGTTATGATAAATTAGTTAATAAAAAGTTGATTGATAGTTTGATAGTTGCTAGAAGGAGTTATGGGATTTATTCAAATACTAAGAACCTATCCATAAACCCAAATGTGGTTTATATAAATAATAAATAGTATTTAGAAAAAATTAAATAATATTTAGAAAAAATTAAATAATATTTAGAAAAAATTAAATAATGTAAAAGTTAATTTATGATGAATATATTTTAATCGGGTGTTGCTGTCACAACCTTTATACTGATATTGATCCCCCATATTCAATATAGATTTTCGCTTTTAAAATTTATTTTAAAGAAAATAAAGTGTTTTATCTAATTGCTTCGCGAAGGGTATTGATTTTTGTATTTATAGTTTAAGATTATGATTAAATTTAACTGTTATAACAACAGCATTTACATTTCATTGTTTTATTTGTTTATTCTTCAAACCTAAGGAATTTTTAGACACTCCGGTGCACTGTAAAATGTTCCTAATCAAATTACGGTTAAAAGTCTCAGGGTGTCAGTACTTTTATACCGTAAATTTCATTTTTACCGGAACATGTTACGAAACAAAAAAAATATGATATATCGTAATTTTTACAGTAATAATTACAGAAAAATCACCGAATGACTCGAATTAAATAAATATTACTGTAAAAATTGCGGCATAATATTTTACAGTGAAAGTGGATTTTACGGATGATGCATCCCAAAGTGCCCGTACTTTATACCGTAATTTGATCCCGAATTTCTTACAGTGTATTCTTAACAATTGATTGAAGGAAAGATATAATATTCAATGCTTTATAATTATCAACATATTAAAATTAAAGAAACTATGTCTGATCAGGAAAAATGATCAGTCAGAGAAACTAGATTATTTTAATTTGCATGTATTTCTATTATTTTAATTAAAATCTATTCTATTTTACAGATTGCTCAGGAAACTCTACATTAGAGCAGTTATTTGAGCGTCAAAGTGGTACCTATCTCATTCGCTCCCCTATAGATGAGCTCAAGGATTCCGCAGTCCAAGTCTTTTGTGATATGGATTCCTCAGGTGGTGAATGGACCCTTATACAACGACGATCCAAAGGTGATGAAAGTTTTGATAAAGACTGGGCTCATTATAAAAAAGGATTCGGCGATATTGACGGTGATTTCTGGATTGGAAATGAAATTCTTCACAAGCTAACAACATCAGAGAAATATGTTTTGCGAATTGACATGTGGGATGCTATAGGCACTTACAAATATGTAGAATATAATACTTTCGAAGTACTGGCTGAAATGGACAATTATAGACTGGTAATTGCTGGTTATTCTGGTAATGCTAGTGATGCCTTAAGCTACCATAATGGCATGGCTTTCAGCACTCCTGATAAAGACAATGACGCAAGCAAAGCTACACATTGTGCCCAATTCTATGGTAGCGGTTGGTGGTACAACCATTGCCAGTATGTGAACATTAATGGCCGTTACAATACAGGAATAACGTGGTACGATATGGATGGTCAAGAATGGTCAGAACTAATGAAAGTTGAAATGAAAATTAAACCACGAACATTGTTTAAATCATAAGCATAGTGAAAGACTGATTGTATTTGCTCAATATTATATAGTTTTTCTAGTCCTTCTTCTAAATTATACGTACTTTTACCGAATTATACGTGATGAGATACTTTGTGATGCATAAACATTTTGAAGAAAATATTATAGTATATAAAATAGTCACATTCATTATAATTATCATATGTGAAGATAATCTACGAGAATTTTTATTGAATGTAAAGAATTTGAAAGAAGAAAGTAGTGTCATTAATATATTTCATTGTTTGTATGAAAGTATTTATTATAAAATTTGTATATATGTGTTTTTGTTCCGTAGACTTCAGGTTATTTTTCACTTGTTTAAAGTTCCCATATATTACATTGTAGTATTACAAAATAGTCTAAGAGAAAGAAAACATTGATTTTATAAACTTTATTTTAAATTTATTTTGAACTTGATTAATTCTATGAATTGTTAGGAAGAAAAAAAATATTATATGTTTATTTAAAAGAAACTGCATGTTTCTAGATTAAAAACGCTTGATAGGTAAAGTGTAAAATATACTTATATATTGGAAAAATGGTAATAAAATTGTACATATTTTTTAATACACTTTACTATAACATATAAAGTAAATTTACGGTAAAATATTTAAAAAATACTTTACTACAGATTTTCAGAAAAAAAATATTTTTGTGTGTGAAATATTTTTACTCATATGTTTTATTATAAAAATATCACAATAAAATTCAATATTGATGGATTTTTTTAAGGACATTTTGGCTTGAGAAATTTAGTAAACTCTTTTTTGTTTACTCATAATTTTAAAGGAATGAAGTCTTTCATTTAAAGAGAAGACTATGGGTTAATATTTCATTTAGTTGAATATTATTACAAATAAGTATTATTTAAAAATTAATGATAGTCTAACCAATGCTACTTAGTGAGTTTGTCTCTTTTTATATTGTCAGTATTTAGAATATATGATAGTATTTAGTTTTATTATCAATATTATATTGATTAATCCGATGAATTCTAGTGCCATTTGTTATTTGTTTTTTTTGTTTCGTTCATTTCCTTGCCGTATACGTTTTTGTTGAATAAATGTTTCTGTACAATTGAATTTTGTTTATTTTTTTTTAAAGTAAAGAACAAACACACAATATTCATATCCCTATTATTTTTTTACAATTTTACCCAACCCTACAAATGATGATTTTATTGCACAAGGTGTTTAAAAAAGTTAAAATTTTTTTAAAATCATACATTGAATCAAGTCCTTATTAAAGCAAAACACGAGATTTGAAGCGAAAAGTGTGAATCTGTTTAGAGAGCGAAGTAAGCAGTGTGAGCCTTATAGTGTTTTACCCCAAGGTAAATAAAAAAGCAACAGTTTAAGTGCCTTACACTTCAGGCAAGATCTTTAAACAACATATGCATACCATCTTACCATAAAGAGCTATTTGGGCTTTAGAAAAGATAAATAACTTATATTTTAAACGTTATTGAACTTTTTTAAAAATTTTCATTTTGGCAAAATTTTTCCACTTAGAAAAAGTATCAAAATCAAAAAATAATTCTAAATTTTTGCAAATTGTAAGAGCTTAGATAATGCAAGGTTGAAATAACTGCTTAAATAACAAAAAACTAGATCACAAACGATTTTCACTTTTGCAATACTGTGGCGTTTCTTTAGACTGATCTTTTTGCGTTATTTTCAAAAGTGTAATAGAGGGCGCTGGCTACAGACAAGCTTACTTTGACTTCCCAGTCATGAACAATTGTTACTAACTCGCAGCAGTTAAGAAAATAACATATTTTTCGTAAAAAACCGTTTTTTCATTTGACGACTAATTTTATATTTCTTGCTGTAATGGCAAAAATTTTTTCCAAGCATTATTTAACCTATTTCACTAAAATTTTAGATTTTGAACAAAATTTTAATGTAGGAAATTGTCATTTATTATTAAAATTTTTTTTCCAAGAATTTTATAATAATTGCTCAATAGAGTTATAAAATTTTACATCGACATAATTTTTGACATAAACCTTTTACGCATAAAATCTTTGTTTGGAGCAATTTAATTTTTACTATATTGGCTTTGCAAACAATGAATAAATAAATAAAAACGAAATAAGGTTTCACTTGTCTAGATAGTAATCTCATGAGAATAAATAGGTACAAGTACAAAAAAGTGTAATTTTTATAAACGAAGCCTTTAAAAGTATTATAACTTCTAAACTATTTATTCTATTAACTTGGTTTTGATCTCATTCAGTTGAGTGTAATAAAAGCATAAAACCTAGCATTTTGCTTGTCTACAGAGTAATGTTTTATGCGTGCATAGGTATGAATACACAACTGTAATTTTATTCATATAAACTCATTAGTTTTTAGACTATTATTGCTATCGACTTTATATTAGCTTCAATCGATTCAGTGTAATATAATGCATGGAAAATAGCATTTCACTTGTCCAGAAAAGGGGTTAAGACATTTAAATAAGTACACATCGAAAAATTGTCCATTTTATAGTTCATGTTTACTAAAACCCTTATAACTTCTGAACTATTAGTTCTATCAACTTAGAAATAGAGAATTTCGATTCAGTATTAAAAAAAACTTGACTTGTCTCCATATAGTAATGCTTAAGTGTTTTGCTCTTCCGATTATCTTTTTTTCTCAATAAATTCAAGATGTCGGCTGAAGCCCACTTCGGAGAAGGGGGCATATTTAAAAGCAAACCTCAACTTGTAAAATAATTTTCAGCTCCCTCCCCTAATTACTTCCATATTCAATTATACTTTTTGAGAATAAAATAGGCGTCTCAAGGTTACGCGGATTTTAACTTTCTACACTTAACTCCTTTCTGTTACAATGGTTATGGAAAAATATTGCTTTATACCTTGTTAAGTTCGTTTCAGAAAGAAGTGGGAATGCATGAGCGTGAGGAAAAAAGGAAGATTTGTAGATACCATGGAAACAGAAATAGGAAAAGTAGAGAAATTGAGTAACCTTGAGACGCCTATTTTATTTACAAAGAGTGTATTTAGAGACTGGTCTACTTGGAGACTAGATGAACCACTTCTACCTCATTACCAAACATAAACGCCAAACTCTATTGTGGGGCATGTTCGTTGGCAAATAAACACGTAAGAGAAAGCGAAATATAGTTTGTCCAAAATAAGAACTCCTCCAGACATTCGTCTGGACCTGTGGCGGTGACTATGATACCGAGGTATGACTATTTCAAGTAGGGGTGCGGGATCACTGCTAGTGGTACCGGCTCGGGTCGGCTGGAGAAAAGGAATCTTTTTCTTCCGTCTATTGTGTTAGTTCTAGAGTGAAGCTACCCTCCCTAAAATGTGCCATTCTTGTTTCAATAGCACCAGACGGCCTCAGACTTTGTGGCGGGAAGAGTTCTTAGCTTAGACAGACTATAAGTTACTAGACAGGGAAGCATTGTTGTTACATTAGATAAAAACAAAGGATTTCCTTTCAAATAAACCAGAATGTAGGAGTATTAATTAGGATGTTCATTAGAATGTAAATTAGAAGAAATGCTAAGTAGAAGAGGGTAAAATGGCATTCTATTTCCAAGTAAGTAAAATAATTTTCATTTTACCTCAAAAGGAACACAGTCGAAGAATATTGCAAGAAACCAATTCAAAGTAACTGTGCAGAGTTCGATGTCTAGTTGCGAAAAATGCTGCCATAAGAGGGGCATCTTTTCTCGTAGTAAATCTTTCAAGACTTCCTGATCAGCTTGGGCACCAATTAGATTTTGGTCAAAGTAATTCGCTGTAAAATAACGCTCACTGACAGCTACTAAGCACCTGAAATACCAAATCGCTTTTTAAATATATATTTCAGAATAAACAAAAGTAAAAAAAATACATTCATTTTGAAGTAGTAATTCAAACAATTTTTTCACATAACTTTATTGCAAATAAATAAATTAACAAAATGCAGCAAATAATATTAAGACTAGACTTTTGCTAAAATATAAATTTAATTGGTTTCATAGTGGCCGCCTTTTGCAGCAATGCAGAGGCTCAAACGTTTATTGAAATGTTCAGCAATGGACCGTAAGTCTTCACCTTTAATCAATCCCATTCCCGCCGAAGCAATTGCGTTATAGAGCCCGATAATACATACGAAACGAACGATTTCTTACTGGCGCTTTCTATTCTCAAAAAACTCCAAAATAGCAATCTTCACAAATTTAAGAAAAAGAAGAAAAAAAAAAGCAACAACACGTAAACTATGAGATAAATTATAAAATATTTTATAATTTAAATGGTAGACAAAAAGAAAGGAGCACATAAATAGAAAATTAGCTAACTCTTCTACACTTCTAGTCCTTATTGCAATAACTTTGACTTTGTCCAATTAAACTAACTATATTGCAATATATATATATATATATATGTTACGCTTTGAAAGCCTAAACATTGTAAGTTCGTAGTGTGGCCGGTGCTTCTTGAAAAAGATACAGGAAAATACAGNTATATATATATATATATACAGGGTGGACAAAATTACAAAATAATGGAAAGACTTCTATGCTAATACATTTTTTATATTTCTCCAAAAATACTTAACGAATTATTTTATAACTTCAGAAGTGTTTTGACAATGCGATTTCTCATACATATCAACGAAGTTTAAAGCTTTTGGAGCTTTGAGGACCCTACAATAAATTATAAACGGAAAATAATGTTTTTCAGCACCCTATGTCAAAAAATGCAGTAATAGATTTGTAACTTGTGACAGTTATTTTAGTAATTATATGCGATAATTACAAAAATTTCATAAGTCTAGCTTAAATATTTAAGCAGATATGGTAATTTTTGTAATTTTTTTTTTGTCTTACGTTTTTTTGCTATAACGTGCTTACATCTTTTTGCTATATTCAATAAAATTAAACTAAGTTTTTAGAGCAACTTAAAATTAGTTACAAAATTCTTGCTTTAAGCTTGAGAAAACAAAATTCTTGCAAAATTCTTTACAAAATTCTTGCTTGAGAAAAATTTGTTAAAAACTGCGCAATAAATGAGTAATTAAAATAGTTCTTTAATATTGCGCATGCCAGGGAAAAAGTAAACAATGTCTCTTCATAATTTTGTGGTGACTCATATTTGGCAACTAATGAAAAAAGTTCCATTTGAATATTTAAAAAATTTAAAAAGTTCCAAGCAATTTTTAAAGTAGTTTTCGTACTTCTTAAAAGAATACTCCGAATGATAAGGGGGTTTCTAGAAATATTATTTTATATTATGAGACAGAATTTAGTAACAAATGATAAAACATTAAAACAAACGTTCATATACTAAAATGTGATTTAATAAGGATAGAAAACAGGCAAAAGAAGACACTTTTATGGGGAATGATTCCCAACAGTGCCAATGTCATTTTTAATAAATCTTGTTCAATAATAAAAAAATTAATTATGTGGAAAACCCCTTATGATTTTAGGCATTCTTTTAAAAAGTACTAAAGCTACTCAGAAAATTGCTTGAAACTTTTTAAATTTTAAAGAAATTCATATCTTCTTGCGCATGCGCAGTATAAAAGATCTAATTTAATTGCTCATATCTTGTACAGCTTTAAACTAATTTTTCTCAAACTTTAAAGCAAAAATTTTATAATTAATTGTAAATTGCTCTAAAAGTTTTGTTTATTTTATTAAATATCTTTAAATTTATAGAAAAAAAAATGTGAGACAAAAAAATGAGTTTTTTATTTTTTTTATAAAAATGTTCATATTTCAATAAATATTTAAGCTAGGCTTACTAAATTTACTATAATTATTGCATATAATAATCAAAACAAGTCCCAAATTACCAATCAATTGTTACATCATTATATATATAGATATATATATATACACATACACATTTAAAATTATTTTTTCATGCATGAATTTTGATTATTCGAGCCTCTGAGTAATAACTTTCACACTTTCAAATTTTCTGATTTAATTATTAAATTAAAATCATTTAGTATTACTTCTTATGCAAAGTAATATTGCATTCTAAAAACATAGTTTAGCGTAAGATGAGACAATAAACTCACCAGAATGCATCTTCAGGTTCCATAAATAACAAACACATTCCTACAAGAAAATTCATACCCTGGCAATATCCTAAATTAGGATTATGGACGCAAAATGCTTGCAAGACTTCTTGCATTTTTCGAACCTATGAAATTAATTCAGTCATTATATAGAGCACTTATATCTATAATTTATTCATTATACTTCCTGAAAACAGAGACATACAATTTTAAAATTAGTTAATTTTATTGCTCAAAAATAGTGTAAGTAAACTTTAATGTTAATATGAGTGGGCTTAGTTTCAAGATTTTAATTGTATACCTTAGTGGAAATATGTTACACGATATTTTTAGAAAAATCACATTTTCAGGTTTAATAATTTGATTAGCTCTAGGCATGAAATATTATTTCATTCTGCCTAATTTTAAAATGAAGCGGTTTTCATTGGTTTTGTTAACTCAGCCGCTGTTTCCGTGCTTTCTAAATCTGATTTTCTCAAATTTGTTCAAAAGTCTTTCAGCTTGCCCTTTAATTAAATTCTAAACTCTCCATTCGTAGAAAGCGCCAAAAAAAATAATGGATCATCCTAAATAATTTTTGATTTAATGATCGCATCTTCACGTTCCAGTGCTCATTCTTAAAGGTTCGAGGGGAATAATAATCGAAAGTAAAAGCTTAAATATTCGAAATATGGACGTAAGTTCAAATTCATTAAGTGACGGGATTTTTTCTTCTTCATTGGGAAAATTTGTTTTGAAATCTTATTTCATTAAGAAAATATTCACAGCTTTTCTCAAAGTTTAATAAAGCACTGCTTGATAAAGCTCTTTTTTTATATGGAATATTTTATGACTGACCAAAAATTTAACTGTAGTACATAATATATTTGCTTTTTTAGTACTTGAGAAAAAATTGGGAAAACTGAAAATTTTGTAAAAAGTGAAAAATTCTTTTAAAATTTCATGGAAAGTGCAAATGAATAAGCGTATGAAGTATATCTTTACAGTTTGGAACAAAATTGAGAAATCAGATGAAAACAAAAGCATTCTGTAACAAATTCGTGGAACGAGTAAGTAATTGAACGCATACGAAATCCTAGTGTTTTGAGCTGAAAATATATTATTATAAATCTTCAGCCCACAATACTCATAAATTCGTTTCATATTTCCTTTTCCCGTTTCAAAGCATTTTATTACACTACACAAAGCATAAAGCAATGGTTTTATACAAAATATTTCCTTTCCAAATAGATGTCACTGTTCAGTAAATACTGTTGTATAAAATAAAAATAATTTTTGATAGATCTTATAACACTGCGAAATAAATAAAAAATATACATACTCCATCGGCATTAGAATCCGCAAATCTTATATTGTCTGGCATAGTTCGCAAGAGATCTAAAGCTATTTGTCTCTTATGATTTGTGACTCTCTATTAAAAAAAAAGCAATGATATATTTTTTTGTGAATAAACTCATTTAATTACATAGCTAGTAATAAAAAGAAATTTATTGACTTATTTCTTGAATTACAATACATGTTAACATCGAGTAAAAAAACGCACATTTTATAAAAATGTAAACTGTACTTACATGCATAAAATCTCGGAAATCATATTGAATTTGTTATATATGAATATACAACTTAATTTTATAAGTTGTAAGTGAAGTGAGCAAAATAGAGAAATGAAATAGCTGAAAGTAATGGACGCTTCACAAAATGCGTGTTTCCAATGTTCAGTTCTAATTTTAACATCTAAACCAAAAATTTTACTGACTTATTTAAACGCTAAGCATAATCATTAAGGAGCAAAGCACTGGGCTCTATTCAGATCTCTCGTATTCAGATCTCTAAGAGATATTTTGGTGTTTAAAAATCACGCAATTCCTATCATGCAAATATAGTACCAATATTATATATTTATAGGACCCATGGTTTCCCTGTAAAACGAACTGCTGAATTTTAAAGTTTTTTCAGAAAAGGGTAAGTTAAAAAAAAAATATGCTTAGTAGACCAGGACCTATAAAAACCAGGACCGCTTTTGTAAGGATTATGTAACATTATGAATTTACTTGGATTCACTAGTTAATTCTTTAAAAAAAGAACAATGTAATTTTAAAGGAAGTTTAAAAAATGGAATCAAATGTTAGGTCCATTTTCTTAAATACTCATTTTGAGCTGTATCCCTTTTCGTAAACACTGTATCCTTTCTTAAATCTTAAGTTGTGTCCATTTCATTCCATTTCATGTGCTGCATCCATTTTTTAAAACATTCATTTTGAGCTCTGTGTATTTTCTTAACTACGCATTTTANAAATTTTGTGCTGCATCCATTTTTTAAAACATTCATTTTGAGCTCTGTGTATTTTCTTAACTACGCATTTTAAGCTATGTCCAGAATAAAAGGTTCAACTTTGATAAGCTAGCGTTGAACAGACGCCATTTTTAAGTTGGATTTTTGACATTAAAAATATAGGAAATTACTGTAATCTTGAAAATATGGTTTTGATTGTTTACTCAGGAGATCGGTTGAAAGTTCAGTCCAAACTAGTATATAACTCGTTTGTCCAAAAATATCTTAATGCAAAATATAATTTTTAAAAAAAATATATATATTTTTATTTTTTATTTTTTTTAAATAATGAGTGAAACAATGGATGATAATGAGTTAAACAATGGAATAATGAGTGATACGATGGAAAATTATATATCACTTCGATTTATGCATCTATATATCTATAATCTACAAATCTAAAATTTGAGCAGAAATGGTCGAATTAATCTTGAGAGATAAAAAGTAAAAAATACGACTTTTTTAAAACTTTTTTATTGATAAACTTTTAACAGGTTCAGTTTCAGCTTCGTAATTTTGTCATTTAAAATTTCATATGTACTAGAAATGTATAATATAAGTGATTTAATGAAATCTATTTTTCTGTTTGTTTTTTATGATCATACAACAGGTGATCCTACATCATACAACAACCTATCAAGGTGGTTATCAAGACGTGGCGTCATACCATGTTTCTATTGCAGCACCATTGCTGTCCAAAATGAACGCAAAGGTAGAGTTTATGACCAAATGTCATGAGTTCATACACAGCTACAATGATACACGATAGAAAGTTAGTTAGCGGGTGTTCACTTTGATAGTTTTAATTTTTTTAAATTTCCTCTTAATTTTTTAAAAATTTGAAATTAGATTCAATTGTCTGTTCACTTTTTTATTTTAAAAAAGGTTTATAAAAACTATCCGCGGTTCATTTAAAAAGCCTTGTGGATCAGCGTCTGATTCGCGAGTCATAGACTCATCCCTGTGGCTATAGGCACATCGAAGTCTTGCTGTATGTGTTTTTGTTTTGAAAAATAATCAACCACAACTTACCTCATCATCAGGAGCTAAACTGCACAGAAAGTTGTAGTAATGCGGACCCTTGCTTTCCATAATATCGTTGACACGTGATCTGTAGAGAATCGCCCAAACACGATTTCTCAAGTGAAGAGGTATTCCTTTGCGTACAAGACTTTTTAATTCTTTCTGTAAATAAGAGGACAAAATCCAGCTGCAATATATATAAAAGCACGATACAGTGCAGAAAAAAGAACATCATATTTAACGATATGATATTTTCTTTACAAATATAACTAACGATAGAATGATATGTATTTGGTGGAATTTTTATAAAAATTGATTTAAAATTGTTTTATAGGTCAGGTTTCAGCTTCACTTTCCCTAGACGGAAGATAAATCTTCATACGTTGCTTATTTGCGGTTTCAAGCACAAATATTGTAAAGTTTATTCTGTAACTTTATAAAACGAGACTTTACCAGTTGGAGATTAAAAGCCGGATTAGTGTCTTGAACTATTCTTCTTTGCACTCCATAAACTGAATATAAGCCTATGAGCGTTAAAAATGCCCTGATAAAGGTTTGATATGACAGTAAAAAAAAAATAATAATAAATAAATGCTATTTGCATGATAAATAGCTGTCATTAGAATTTATAGATTTGTGTACAATTAAAATAATAAGAGTTAACAACACAATGAACTTCATAAAGTTGAAATCTTTATGAATTGCAGTTTTTTTTTAATTTTTAAATCAAACATTTTAATTCATTCAAGCTGTTAATTAAGACAGTTGCTATTGACAACTAAGTTTTATAAGTCAATGATTGCTGTGAATTGCAAAATTATCACACATTTTTGAAGCGTTAGTATTTTGCATCTCTAAAATTATACATTAAAATAAAATTTTATTATCTGCACTGATAGTTTAATAAATGAAAACGAACTGCACGAAAATTCAATGAGTTTTACGGAAAGTTTTTCACGAATTTATTGTAACGAAAAATAGTCTTTTATTTTAATTGTATGCGCTTAATTGTAGTTTTTTTCAATTTTTTATTTTTTACATCAGTTGTAGTTTTTGCAGAAAAAAATAAATGAGCAAATAAATAAAATAATATTATAACACAAATAGTTAAAATATTGTATCTACAAAATTTATTTTAAATATTTCTGTTTTTTTATTGCAATTGAAAAAGCAACTTTAAAAAAAAAAAAATTAAGAAAAAAAAAAAGCAATTTGGAGAAATAAACTAGAGAAACATTTCGTCATATAACATAAAATTTATTGAAGCTCAAGATAAAAACTTACAAGTCATTGCAATAGATGGCAGCACTACTTAATCTTATATCCGAAAATTTGGAGCTCAACTTCGTAATTTGATCTTATTTTAAAATTTTATGCATAATACTTCAATGATCCCATGTCCTAAAGCGTTTTACTCAGCTCTTTTATATATATATATATATTTTTTTTTTTTAAAGCCTTTTTAAAGCCTATGAATGGTACAAACAAAGTACGAGAAAATCTAATTTTCAAAATTGAAGTAACGGCAGAAACTTAAATTGCTTTAACGACAGTTCAAATAAAAGTTAAATTGTTTTGAATGAAAAGTCAAATTATTTTAACGACAAAAGTACAAGCGTATAAATGTAAAACGAAATTTCTTTTTATAAATATTTAATTTTTGAAACTTTTGATTTTGTTTATAGCGCATAATTCTTATTTTTTTATTATTAAGAATTTTTATGTATTCCTTTATGTTTATATTCCTCAACCTTTCTGAGTATAAATAATACAATGCGAAAAATTAAATACAAAATTTTGTAAAAAAATTTAAAAATTGTGTTTGTGGATTACGTTTTTAACGAAAAAAAAAAATCAAAGACGACAGGCACACAACGTCTTGCTGATAACCTAAATATTCTTAGAAAATGCCCTTAAAAATATTTAAAAAAAAAAAAAAAAATCAGGGGAAAACCTTAAAAAATTACCTTTTATTGAAAAACAGTGCTCTTAAAATTTTTCAATAACATGTAACTAATAAACCTTTTTATTTAAAAAACATAATAATAAAAAGCGCAGCTTGTATCTACACATTTAATTAAAAAAAAGGCACCAATTAAAAAAAAAAAAAAAAAAAAAAAAAAAAAAAAAAANAAAAAAAAAAAAAAAAAAAAAAAAAACACGTCATTTACGAAAAAAATAAATAAAATGTTAAAAAATACCTCAATGCATTAATTTTTAGTAGCTATCTTCAAAAACATCAGAATTCTATTGTATTATCAAATATTTTTTGATATTCTTAAAAATGAATGATTGCCTATTGTCGAAAGCAAATTCTTAGATCTTGAAAAACTAAGCTCAACATCAATTCTCGTTATTGGGGGATAATTAAAACAACAAGATTCAATACAAGATATGCACTAACATGAAGGAAAAAAAAATAAATCGCAAAAAAAAAGAAAAAATATTAAATCGTTAGAGAAATGCGCTAAAATAAAAATATATATTCGAAGTTCATGAAATGTAAAAAATATGAAAAAAATCTAAACTATAAAAAGGGGCAAAAAAGTATAAATAATGAAATTTGAAAAAAAGAAAAGAAAATAAAAGCAGAAAGACCAAAAATATGAAAAAAAGTGATAAAAAACATGAATAATGCCCCGAAAAAGAAAAGAAATAAAAAATGCAATAAAGAATTTAAGCAAATCTATTTATCATTAACATTTCAAGAACTGAATCTTAGCTTTTGCAGCAAGTGACTGTATTCAAATCATTGAGGAATCCGTATGCTTAAAAACTTAACGGAATGTTTTTGGGGTAGGGGATTAATATTGAAATATAAGAAAAAATATTTATTTTAGAATTTAAATAATGATTTTTTTTTGTATGTGTGTATCAAAAATCTAAATATTTTTCAAGCTTAAATCTTCAATGTTATACATATTTTTAAACATTTCGATTTTTAAGAGCCCATTACGTAGTACGTACTAGCTGAATGCTACCAATGTTATGTAAACTGCAAATGTTTAATAATTTTTATTACCTATTTATGGAGTATTTCACAATCATAGAATATGCATGAAATTAATAAATAGGTAACTTACTGAATTCGGCAACGTCGGACTTTGACGGAGATGTTTTTTCCATTGCTGTTGATGAACTTCATATTGGGGACCAATGGACGAATAATGTTGATGAAGTTGTCTACAGATGTAATGAATTATGAGACTTTCGTCCCCGAAATTTCGCCGAAACCCTAAAGGATCTACGTGGTATAGACCTCGAGTCATGCTGTTAATGAAAGATTACTTTCTTAAAAAAAAATCATCCTGGTGTAAAATAATTATATATATATTAAAAATTGATTTCTGAGAATCCATAGGTTGCCTAAAATTAACAATGCTTCTGCTTCATAACTAACTTTCATGTAAATATAATCTAATAAACTGCAAATTTGTACCCGACGTCTCTTGCAACTATTTTTCTTTGTTTATTTTAAACTTGCTCATTAGGTGCAGTTTTTAACAGTTCATGCANATAAAGTTGTATTATAGTTTGAATTAACATAGTTTTTTTACATGTCAAAGTTCAAAAACTGCTAAATCCTGCACAAAGTAGCCCCGAATGACGGTAATTAAACTATTTATCTGAAATGACGTGACGTGATTTATTGTGTGAAATGACGGTAGGGTATGTTTTAAACGTATAACAAAGATTTTTGGATCATTGGTAGAAATTTAAAGGCGAATAATTGTGCAATTTCAATCTATTCACAATACGGTGGCCTAGATGACGGTTTGTTTACATGAAATGTACTGGGGAAATGTGACTTCTTGACGGATTGAATTGACAAACTGGTCATAGCATATTTAATACCAAGCAAGTTTCGATGATCTTTACCAATTTATTGAGAATATTGATTGTGGTCGATTACTTGCCAAGTAATTCCAATCCACTAATCGGATTGATCTGATCTAGTGCTTATAAAAACTGTTATAAAATGCAGATATGTTTTTAGTTGCATAATAAAGATAATCATGCTCTCAAGATTTTCATAAATCTGTCTGTTACATAAAATAATTTTATAGTATGTAACTTCGATTCTATCTGTTATATTATATTCTACCTATTAACAAAGCACAAAATATATTACAGTATATTTGCAACAAATTAAAGGAATATTATTTAAGAAGATCTTGACAATTTTAATAAAAGTATAAAACTTAATTATGTACGATATTTTCAGAGAATACTTATACTATAATGGAGATTTGTAAATGACAAAAAAGGAACTTACTTTTCAAAAATTGGAAGAGTAGGATTGATTTTTCTGGCTTCTTCCAATAGCATCAAAACTCTGTTCTTATGCTGTAAAGCAAAATAATAATAAAATTTTACAATTAGTTAATCAGCACAAATATGAACCTCAAAAAATTGGTATTAATCTTAGAAGTGTTGAATATACACTCGAGATTTGTATAGTATCCAACAATAAGCTTTGTACGCTTATTAATATTGGCGGATGTGGAATAATAGTTTTGAGCTGTTTTTCTTGGTATGAAGTGGGATTCATGGTTCAAAATTTATGGTAAGCTCAAGGCCGACATCAACCGTATCATTTATGATGATAGTATGCTTCCTACGTTGTGGCAGTTATACGGGATAGAACCTGGTTACTTCCAAGAAGAAAACGCTGGCTGTCTTGTTGCGAGATCTAGCATAGATTGGTATCCTGACCATGGATTAACCGACTAGACTATTCTGCTTAGATCTAGAACCAAATCAAGAACCTCTGGGGATGAGTTGGATTGCCGAATTAAGGGATGTACGAATTGTTCGAAATCGGTGAAGGAATTTACATAATTTCTCCACGCCGATTGGAAGAAAATGTCACTAGTCGTCATACAATGATTTGTAAAAAGCATGGACCGGAAGATTGAAATTGCGCCTTTGAGACTCTTCTAACTATTGAAATATTGAATATGAATAAGTTTTGTTTTTCATTTCTATTACAAGTGTTCAAATTCCTATTGGTCTAGTGTAATTATGAAACTGGGACAGTGATTACTTTGTAGAAAACACTTGCTCTCATTATGAAGGCAATTAAAATTATATAGAGTATTTAATTTTACTAAGTTAATTATCCTAACTTTCTTAATGAAAAAAAAATTTCTATTACATTTCAGAACTCCTGTTGTGCAACACTTAAGTGATAAATTGTATTCGTTTAATTTAAATAAAAGGAAGAGATTTTATTCCTTATAATTTAGAATATGTTTAACATTGTCTGAATGAGAGATTATTGAGGTTAGGAGACTAATCTGAAACAATGATTGGAATTATTCTGAAGATTTAGATTAACAGTTTCAGGGCTAATATGAGACATTGAATGAACTATAAAAGAGTGCTAAAAGTTAAAGCTTATAAGTATGCTTTAAATATTTTTCACCGACAGCGTTAATTTGCATTTAATAACGCTTTTTTCCCACTTTAGATTACACATAATATTAATATAATGAATTCCGAAAAATAATACTGAAGTTTTTAAACTGTAATTACCTGAATTTTTTCCTGATGTTTTGAATAATGAAAGAAGAAACTCTGCATCACATTTAGTAATATGATTGTATCGTTCATTTTTAAAATAAATTAACTTCATAAAACAAATAGTGGATAATGAGATGGAATTAATGTAAATTAATTTTTAAAATAGTTTATAATTTCTTAGTAAAAATTTTGTCGTTTAGAAATGTTAATACTAATTGTTTGGAAAATATATAAAAAATATAAAAAGCTGTGACTAAACCAAGTGCTTTTATGCATAAATGTATCGATTAATTAATCAATTTGCGCTGTGAATAGCTCAACCGTGTTCATGAAGTTTTATTTCAAATTTAACTTTTTCTTTATCCCAAGATAACTTAACATTTATCTAATAGATTAGCAATTTTGGAGCATTTTACAGAGTCTGAATTTTTCCTAAAAGTTTTAATATTTTCAAAGCTTTCATTCAAACGTAAAATTTTATCATGTATCTAGATTTGAATAAAAATTTCAAAACATTTTCTTTAAGTTAAGCTAATAATTTATCAGACAGAACATCAGATAAAGAATTATGAATGTTTTTAATTCATTTCCAATGAGTTGAATGATAAAGAACTTGGAATTATTTTTTTACAAAAAAGGTGCACTTAATTACAAAACCAGTTCTTTTAATTTGTATTTCTGAAAAAAGTGAACCAGATTATTTCCAAAAAAAGTGTATAGTCAAGTTTTGGGAATCAAGAATTTCATTTGTAGATTTTAAACTTTAACCACTCAAACTGCAAATAACACAGCTGATATTCCAAATAAATGTAAATAAATAATTTTTGAAGTTGAACCCAACGTATTTCTTGCTAAGTTATTAAAAAAATATTGGAAATTTTGCTCAGTATGATACCTGTAAAACATAAATGTTAAAAACCAAAAAATTTAGATATATTTTTACCAGATCTCCACATAATTATTAGAATTATACAAAAGTATTTTTGGTTTTGTATGTGATCAAAATGCATAAAACACGCAGGCAATTTACGTATTTTACGTAGCTCCTTATGTAGAATCGTATTATTATTTATTTAATGAAAATAAACGCTAAAAATATGTTTTTTTCCCTTCACAAAAGGACACTTCTGCTCTTATAGAAAACCATTTAAAGTATATAGAATTTTTAAATATATAACAATATGGAGTATTGAGTGAAATTAAACTGCTAGTAATTTATTTTGGCTAGTAATTTATTTTATCCTGAGATTGCTGTTATCGAACACTCTAGAGCAGTATTCGTCGCTAAGAAACACTATTTTAAGATTTGTTTTGAAGAAATCACCCGTGTAAAATGTATTTGGTTTTACTCATGATAATCGAGATTTTTAAATAGTTATAAAGACGGGAAGAAATTGAATCATGTTAAATTCTAGACGCTTTTTTCACGGTGAATTTTTATTATAAAATGTTTTAATATAATTGTTCTTTTTATTTTGTAATTATTATTACCGCTATTTTAGTTTTAGGTTATAAAAGTCCCCAGATTTTAGTGCCAGACTAGTTAATTACAGACTAGTTTAGACCTTGCTTACATATTGATTCGCTTAGATCATCAAAATATGCAGAGAAAAAGAATTAGATGAGAGTTAGTTAGAATCTATAAATTTTATTTAGAAATATAGATTGAAAATACCTAAAAGTATGTTAAAATTGTTAACACTAAAAAATTCGCAGTTTTTTAAATTAGTTTTCCAAAAGTATAAGTTAAAATTAGAAATATTTTTGTTTTTTTAATTAGCTATCATTTTAATAATCTAGATTCAATTTAATGACGAAAGAGACGGGATTTAATTTAACATTAAATTTAATGGCAACAGATCTATAGGGCGTAAAACGTAAATGTTATGATTTACTCACATCATAGGAATCAAGAGACGCAACAAACTAACAACATTTGGCATTCATAGTTAATAACAACTGGACCCGTTTTTTTTAAAAAAAAATTTCATTTTCAAACAATATTTCTTGAAAATAATATATTTAATTTTTTAAGGAAATAATGGCGTGCATTCAGTAACGAAACTTAAGACAGATATTTGTTTGATTAAAGGTGTATAACTAAATAAAAAGTATTTAAAAACACAAAACTTTTACTTGTGATAAAGCACAAGCAGGGTCATTTTCGTCTGTTAGTAGCTTTAATGTTTTTCCTGTTATAATCCAATACACGGAGAAAAAAATTCTGGCAAATTACCAATCTGCATGGTAATGACATTTCTGGTTTAAGAGAAAAAAAATTCTGGTTATTAAAACCAAAATATATGGTATTTAAGCCATTCATTTGGTAATTTTTCCTTTCATATGGTAACGTTTTACCAGAAATTTTAGTTTTCAAAATTGTAGTTCTTATTACCATACACTTAGTGAAAAATACAAAAATGAAAAGTAAATTTAGCCGAATAAATCGTTTTTATGCCATTCTCTTAGGTACCATAACAAAATCAAAGATTTTTTACCCCATTTACCGAATTTTATCGCATATTATAAAATTATATTTTATAATTTATTTTGCTAAAATCATGAACCAAAATGCTTCCGTAAAAATTGCTAAGAATTTTGGTGTAACCAGAGAGATAGGAACACAGTAAATTTTACCATATTCTGGTTGCTTCGACCATACTTTTTCCCTCCGTGTATGTAGCACCATATATTTATGGGGTTGTGGAATTCGTCTATGGGAATTCAAAACAATTGTATTAAACCAAGTTTAATTTGACTACGTCCAAGACAAAAATTTGTCACATTATGTCTGTTACCTGGCACGAACCTTTTTTAAAGTTAGAAAGATTGAGGTAATACCTATAAATTTTTAAAAAGTGCAAAATGTTTAATTTAAAACTTTATTATGAATTTGGGCTCTATCAGTACACACATGGTTTTGTCATGCAATTTTTCAGTAAACTGAAATTATGAGTTCGTTGTTAGTTTGATATTTATCTCTCTTTTTACTGATAAGTACTGAATTAATTTAATTGAAATAACGAGAATAAGTTTGTAGCATCATCATTAAACAATTAAAAAGTTTCATTAAAAAGTTCATAATTAAAAAGTTTTTATTTATGTTTAATTTAGAACATTTGCAATCAATAAAGGTATTGCTTCAAAATTTATTTGAGCTATTTAACACTCATTAACGATTATTTAGCTATTTAACAAATATCAGTGGTACTACAGTGTCATATAATCCTAATCTAATTTTAATTTTTCGCATTAATTAATATCTAGTATACATAAACTTTAGTATTTAATATAAATATACGGCATTTTAAAAAAAGAATCTGATAACAGTGTTGAAAACTATTTATTAAATAAAACATGCAATTTCAAAATATTCATGCACAACTAACTATAATATGTTTGGAGATGATTTTACTATTCAATTTTTACAATTGTTTCAACTACTAAGAAAATATTACGTTTTTTTACCCTGTTTCCTCCATATAGATAGACATCCATTGTTTCAGGTCCATCAGTGTTGTTGATTCGGAGAGAGGACTGCATTAGAAATACATAATCTCTCTTTAATTGATCAACTTCTTGTTCTATATGTCGCACCAATCTGTTAAAAAAAGAAAATTTTAATTTTCATGTAAAATATTAGCAGGTAGGAGTTGCTATAGTTTAATGGTTCCCAAACTTCTTTGAGTTGAGGTAAAATATTAGCAGGTAGGAGTTGCTATAGTTTAGTGGTTCCCAAACTTATTTGAGTTGAAGTAAAATATTAGCAGGTTGGAGTTGCTATAGTTTAGTGGTTCCCAAACTTCTTTGAGTTGAGGTCATATTTTTCATCCGAGTGAGCAGAAATTTCTCCTTAATCTCCTTAATATAGAAATCTGTCTTTGAGTAACAAGGTAAAAACTAAACTTTTGGGAGAAAAAGCAAATATAAAGATGTCTTAAGAAGTCGCATATGATCATTTAATTCATATCTATTAATGATTTGATATGAAAATGGAAAAAAAATAAGACCAACTTTTGCACCTGATTTTAAATCATTGTGTTTATTTTTGTTCTTAATTTTATTAATAAAAAACTAATAGAAAAAAATTCACTTGCAAGTTATTGAACAGATTTTAAAATCGTGGATAAAAGTTATGGGATACACTGTAAAAATTTTTGGATCGCACTGCGGTATAAAGTATGATGCGCTTTGGCTGTATCATCATTAAAATCCATTTTTACTGTAAAATGTTATACAGTAAATTTTACAATAATATTTATTTTATTAGAGTGAACGGTGATTCTACAGTAATTATTACTGTAAAAATTACAGTATATCAAATTTTTTTTTCTGTAGCATGCTCCGGCAAAAATGGATTTTGTGAAAAAAGTACCGGCACTCTGAGTGTCAGTACATTTTACCGTAATTTGATCCGGAGAACGTAATTTTTTACAGCTTACTGTCCCTTTAATTTTTTTCTTAGTTGATCTTTACTCAATATTTGCTTCTATCATTCCAGCTTCGAATTTTTTGTGGACTATATTAAAATTTTGAAACTTAGGGTGTAAGGTTGATACTCTTTTCCTTTTTACCATGACGCAATATAGTAAATTTAAAGTGATGTATGTTTACCGAACAAAAATAGTATGGGAAAATACATTAAGCATCTTCAAATAAGAATGTCTCATCTTCTAAGTATGTTTATACTGTAAGCAATCCTGGATGAAATTACTGTAAAAAGTACCGGCATTCAGAGTGCGGGTACTTTTTTTTTAAATCGTAAAATGCATTTTTACCAGAACGTGTTATGGAGAGAAAAATCTGATAATCCTTAATTTTCACAGTAATAATTACCATAAAATAACCGGCTCTCTCTAATTAAATAAATATTACTGTAAAAACCACCGTATAATATTTTAAGGTAGAAATGGATTTTACGGATGATGCATCCAAAGTGCCGGTACTTTATATGGTCATTTAATCTGAAATTTTTTACAGAGTAGATAAATTTTTATCGAGTTCCACTCCATCGTTAGAGTGCGTCCCATTCAAAATAAAATCATGAACATGATTGGTTAAGGTATTTCAACATTTACTTGATTCCCTTTCTGCAAATATTTAATAATAAAATTACATAATTGCGACCAATTTGCTTGATTTTTCAAAAAACAAATTTAAAGTTTTATTCTAAAGTCATATTTTTTTATTTCTTTTATTGGTAGTAAAAATAAATAAATAAAAATAAAATACTTTTCACAAAATTCAAGTCAGCATTCGGGAGGAGGTGGTATCAATTTGCTTAATTTTTCAATCAATGTTAGAAGGGGGGTCAAATATTCCCCCAAAATATGATTATGTATTATTTATACAACCCTTCATTGAACATTTGTAGAATTGTCCTTACAGTAAAAATGAATTTACTAGTACAAGAAGAAAATACTTGCTGGTTTTTATGTTCTGTGTTTTTTTTCTCTTGTTGCATCATTTTGGCTAATTTTAACACTTCTTCATTCAAAAATCGATTGTGGTTTTGCAAGATACGGCATTTTTCTTGAAAATTTCCACTGCTTCCTTTATGGACTGGAGATTTCCTAATGAAAAGTTATATTAATTGCTTTCATTTACAAACGAAAAATAATGAAAGAAAACTTGGTAAATAACAGAGCTGTTGTTCCCTTATGTAAAAATATTACACATTAAGTATTATGACAAAATATTACCATACTGTATTACCTTACAGTATTATGGCAAAAAGAAACAAAATATGTGATATTTAAACCATTCATTGATAATTTTACCATTCATATGGTAACAGTTTATCGAAAATTCTTGTTTACAAAATTCTTGTTCTTATTACCATACATTTAGTAAAACTGAAGAGTAAATTTTACCGAATAATAATTTTTATGTCATACTCTGAATTATCGCGATAAAAATTAACGAATTTTACAACATTTATCAAACTTTATCACATATTATAAAACCATATTTTACCTTTAATTCTCCTCAAACCATTTCCAAAGCGCTTTGGAAAAAATTACCGAGACTTTAGGTGTTCCCATAGTGCCTAAAACATGGAAAGTTGTACCATTTTCTGGTAGTTTGGTTCATGTTTTTTATTTTTAGTGTAAAAGTTAAATCCCTATTCTTCTTTTCAGGGTAACAATCAAGCACAAAATAATTACTTGATCAGATATATCCTTCATAAAAGCAACAGTGGATGACCTTTTACAGAAAACTGATTGAAGCATTAAACATTGGATCCAAGAACCGGATGGAACATTGATTCTTTTATTGAGTTTTGTCTATTTCCGGATTTAACCGAATGCACCACATGGGCATTCTCATTTATGGAATAGTAATGATTTTTTAATAATTAAATCAGAGACTTCAACACAACATAAATGAAATAAATGAATAGAAGGAAATAATAAATGAAAACCAGTTATTCATATTTAACTGTTTTTATTTCTTGTTTACAGAGCGTAAAAATAAAATTATTATTAGCAATTTAATTATACGTGATTGAATTAAATTAATTAAAATTTATTGACAAATATTTAAAAAATGTTTGAAACAGGTAAATTTTGCTAAAAAATACAATTATTAAGAGAAGATACAATTAAAAAATATAATTAAGATTATTATTATAAACAATTATTAAGAGAGCGTATCAAAGAAAATTTTGAGTACTCACCAAACTGCATCACCATCTGGATTTTCTGCTGATCTTAATCTTTCTTCTAATTCATTAACCAAAAGAATTTTCTCTTCTATGATACTTTTATATGCAGACTCACGATTGAGAGCTTTTGCCAAATCACATTTTGTACACCTGTAGAAGAACTCTGATTTAAAACTTGCGAATTCACTTTAAGAACATATGTATTCATACACATTTTAGAAAATTTTGATTATCCCAAACCTGGGTATAACTTTATCATGATTTTTGTTGCCTTGCTGTTCTTGAACCAATCACTGGAGGAGAAAACTAATTTTTATTGTTTGGTTTAGTGAAAAAATATTAATTTTGTAAAATTCTTTAAAAATTTTCTGAAAATTTAAATTCACTGAAAATTTCCTAAACCAAATAATAAAGGAGACAATTCGAACCAAAATATAAACAAATAATAAAGGAGTAATGTAACTAAATAATATATGAACCAAATAATAAAAGAGACTCAATTAGGAGATTGAGACTGATTCTCAATTAGAAGATTTCATTGTTACAGTCAGTAACTTTCAGAAAGAATTAAATCAAATTTTTAAAAACTTTAATAAATTGATTCAGTTTAAAGTTTTTAATTTTCGTCAGCAATGATACAAGCAATCTGGTATTGTCTTTAGATCATTTGATAATACATTTATTGTCTTTAGATTATTATATAATACATTATTTAGATAATGCAGGAGACAAATATGAATAAAATGGATGAAGTGTGAAAAAAATCATAGAAAAATAATGTAATTATGCTAATCCATTCAATAATATTTTCAATTACTATGTTATTATAGTTTCAAATAATGATACAGACAAGAATAAATTAAAAAGGGGAACTCAAGAAATTAGAAAAAGTATAAACTGGAAACTTTTTTATTCAATTTTTAATATTTTATTTCGAACTCTATTTCCTTACATTAAGTAGTAATTTATGTAATGACTATGTTATGAATATGTTATGAATGATTATGTAATGATTATGTTATGAATGTGATTATAACCGTACTATGAACGTTATACAACTGTAGACCTATACGAATGAATGAATGGCTTTTTAGATTTAAAACATAAGAATTTTCCTTCTTGTGTTTTAAATCTAAAGCGCCATTCGATATCTAAAGCTACATTTAAATCTAAAGTGCCATTCAAAAACTCGTTCAAATTGCTGAGTTTGGAATATTTATACCATGTAGTTTGAGACATAAATGTATAGTAATAGTAGACATTTTTACGAACATAATTACATATGCTTCAACCAAAAATATGATCTGAAAAAAAATTACTAGAAATGCTACTTACATAAGTTCAGTTTCTAGTTCTTGTAATCGAGTTGATGCTGAGTAATCACTTGTACCGACGGCTGAATCGCTCGATACACTCGTACCTGACAAGGAGCTACAACAAAAATAACGAATTAAAATACAAAATATTGCTGTAACTTATATGAAGTTGCTAAAATTAATAAGAGATAGGATATTAATTACCTTACCGTAAACCGGGGCGAGTCTACCCATTTTAGTTTTATTTAATTTTCACTATTTTAAATTGCAAATAAAATTTTTTTACCGACGGAGGACTTAGTTCAGACTCTAAGGAAGATGGCGCTGTAGTAGTTTGATCCGTTTTTATTTATTTGGTGTCTTTTTAACCGACCTGTTCAAACGTCTTTTGAGAGATTTGTATTGAAAATCAGCAAACTTTTAGTTGGTGCTCCGTAAGTATATTATTATTATTACTATTTTCACTTTGGTTAAGTGATAAACTTATCTAAGACTAAGATTACATTAATTTTATATGAAAAAAAAACAAAAAGAATGTAAGTTTTGCTGTTGTAAACAAAAAGCCAGAATTCGCGGGGCGAGTCTACCCATTCGTATTTAGTTTTAATAAAGCATAATAATATAATTTAGAACTTTGTTTATATTAAAATTAAGTCATTTTAAATGAATTTGAGTATATTATTTTAATTCTGCATTGATAAATTTATCATTAATAAGAAAATTTATAGGTTAAATATAAATGTAAATATAAAATATGTTTATTTTACCTATTTTTTCAATTTTTATATTACAAAATTAACTTTTTTTATTTAATGCAAGTTAAATAAATTATTATTTATAAATTATTATTACCTCCCAAAAGAATGGGAAAAGGATTTTTCATGATTCCCAATGTTTGAATTTCGATTTTGTTAATAATCTTTAATTATTATTATTTATTAATTATTTAATTGTAAATTTATATTAATTTTAATTTATTTTTATCAACAATAATCAGAAAAAAATGTTATTTTATAATGTTAATGATTATAAAAACAAAACTGTGATCAAAATGTGATAATCGATCAAATACTCAATTTGTGTTATTTTATGAATAAAAAAATGGAATATATAATAAAGTTATGAATTTTACTTCATAAATATCCTATATAGTAACTAAAATAACAATTTAATAGTAAAATTTGATTATTTACAATGTTAACATTCATTTTAGTAGAATGGGTAGACTCGCCCCATACGAGAGATTTGTCAGCAGTTCTATAAAAATATACAGTAACAGCGTAACTGTTAATATTTTCTAAAATCGATTTCACAGCTTTAAAGAGGGATAAATAGCGATTCCGAAACACCTATTAAAAGCCTTTTTTCTTTAATATTTACAAAAGTTTGACCACCTTAAAGTTGACAAACTGAAAAAATGGGTAGAGTCGCCCCGGTTTACGGTAATTGTTTTTTTTTTCAGATAAGAACTATAATAAAAATTAAATGTTTCTTGCTAGAAACTTTCAAATTATATATAGAATTAGGACAAAAAATGTTAAGCATTTATTCAATCAATTAAGTAAACAATTAATGATTAATTAATTAATTAATAAATGAATAAATTATTTAAATAGTTAATCAATTAATGAGCACTAGCAATTATTTTTGATTACTTCTTCCAAACATGGACAAGCTGATTTGGAATTTTCCGTTATTGAAGAGCGGAAACAGGCACCGTTTTTTGAAGAGAAATAGATTTCACAATTATATTTTAAAATAATTCTTGTGCACTACATGCAATAAGTAGACATATTACACTGGGGAACAATTACTATTTTGTGTTGCATGAAATTTTTCAATAGATCTTAGATATTTTCGTATCACTGATTTCAAATATGCAATCAGTTTATCGCTTCAAACTACATTTTTTTTTTACATTAGTACATTTCTAGTCTACTTTTTGTCGAAATGTACAGGTTTAAGAAAGTAATATATATCAAGGGGTCTCATAAACCTTGTGACAAATTTATAGAGGAGTTAGGGCACATCACCAGGATTAAAAGTGCATAAAAACCCATGTGTAAGTTTAAAACATATCGTCATACGCCGCTGGATGCGTAACATAGTATGCATAAATATTTTTTGTATCTCTTTATTTAGTACTTTTATTTCAATTTGAAATAACTGTGGCTATCTATCCCAGACATACCCTAAGATTTAAATGAAAGCAACATAAGCTACAGGTGATGAAACATCGGATTGATAAAAATTTGTACTATTCCGTTGTTTTTGTTATAAACGATTTCAAAATTTAAAATTTTTACTATGTGGTTAAACTTATTTCTTATAACTTTTAAGCCAATTATTATTTTAGTTTATATTTTTAAAAACATTAAAATCAAGAACAGACGTTTTATTTTAAATTCTTTACCTGGCTCGATCTTTGAGAGGAGTAATTTCTTGTGGCGCCATGCCTTCTGAGTTCATTTTTCGAAGAATGCGCACGTGCTCATTTTTTGGTTCATCCTCGATGTCGGATTCAGATTCATCATCACACGATTCTGTGTCAGATGATAAATCTGAAAGCGCTTCTTGTAAATTTACGACAGGCCTGGGCTGACCTCCATCATTGTTATTTGAATCTGTGGCAACTCCCATTGCACCAATTGTCGGGGAAACTGGACTACTGTCGTTTGAGGACTCTTGGGATTCTTTGACGATTGAAGGTCGCTTAATGGGAGGAGCTAAGAAGTGAAAAAGAAAAAAAAAGGAAGTAAAATTTTTTTAAAAATGTATATAATATCAAACAGCTATAGAAGAATAAGTCATTTTGTTTGTAGATTTGTTATCGCAGATAATTTTAGTATGGGATCATACTTTAAATATTAGAGAGATTTCTCTACCTTCTCCGTATGATTCTGCGCAATCTCCAAACGGACATCAAATTCTTTACGCTTGCTTAGTGAGAACTTAAGCGAAATAAAATGTGACATCTGGACTGAGAGATGTTAAAAATCTTTCTTCTGGGTTGTAATTCAATGTTTAAAGTGATTGAAATGTGATAAAAATGATAAAAATGATTTTGAGAGCATATATGTGCTTCATTAAATGTTTGATATATTCTCAAAAATTCTGTAAAGCTAATATATATATTTTTATTATAAAATTTTATTCTTGAAATGCAGTTAAAGTAGCTTCACAATATAAAACACCATACTTGTTTGTATGCTTTTTCGTATATTTTATTCAATTCAGTTTTTCTCAATTGACACAATTTATCAAAATAAAAAAAATCATAAAATTTGAAAAAAATTTCATTCGATTTTCTTAATTTGTTTTGATTTATATTTTTGCTAAAATTAACAACATAAAATTGCCAAAAAGCTTTATAAAAGTAAAAAAACAGGCTATTAAAATGTTGATGTATAGAAATTAAATTATAAATAAAATATAGTTTAATTTAATGTTATGAAACTTTTCCGTAGGAAAATAAAAAGATTTTTTAGTTAGTTACTGAAAATGGAATAAAATTGGTTATCTTGTACTTAAAATTTTCTGAGCCTACTCATTCAAAAATGTGCAAAATGTAATGTGCAAAGTTCATTCAAATTAAACCATGGTAGAAATTTTGAATTCTTTATGTAAATAATAATAATAATAATAACAATAAAAAGCTTTTTGCGCAAGCAAAAGCCACAAGTAAATTATTTTCTAACTAGTAGTGACTAGTACTAAACTAACTTTTAAGCATTGTTTATACTTTTATGTTTAGGCAAATATAGAATAGTTTTCTTTGGCATAGTTTATAATCTTGTGAAATGAAGAAGCAATACAGATTTTGTTGACATAAATAGCAGTAATTACCAAAAATTTAATCATAAGAAACATGACCAATCCTTTAAATTTATCTCATGAAAAAATAAAAAGTATGCGTGTTGATGAAAATAAAATGTAAAACCAGCTTGGATTACTTATTGACATGCGTAACTTCTGGAAAACTTTGCTAGAACTCGTCTATGTATTTTCCTATTAATTTAGTTGCCCAATCCACATTTCTAATTTTCTATCCGTTAAAGATGCAATACAAATATTTATACACTTGCAAACTAAGGAAAATTTTATCATAGTTGGATACCCTATACCAAAATAATCAAAATTGCTTTTAAGAATTTAAATATTTAAACCATTTTGCTTCCACTAATATCTCGTAGCAGATAATAAACAAATACTGATTTTTATTATTATAGTTTTATGATTGTATATATTGGCGTGGTATTTGAGTAAAGATTTGATAATTTTTTTCCTTCTGATTTAAAATTTAATCACAAGCCATTTTTTGCCTTTTATTGCCTTAGTAGTTTTCAGTAGTAAGAACTACTGACTCATATTGCTAGACTTTTATTTATTTTATAATAGATGGTTATACTACGATGGTAATAGATAGTTATGCTATAGTGATTGTAGTACAGTGCGTCACAAAATTATAAGACAACCCCAAATATCACACATTTGTATGGTATACTAAATAAAATCAATAATTTTAAAATGGTGAAGCAACTGAAATATAATATATTTTATCAAATAAATAAAAAAGTAAGAAAAAATTTAGTCAGTTTTACACAGCAAATGATTTTTTTAAATCAAATAAGTATAAGACCACCTTATTTCTTTTTTCAAAATTGTTTGAGTTTTCAAACGCTTTTTTATTTCTTCTTTGAAAATCGTATGTAAAGTATAACTTTGCATCGTAGGAAGCTCAAATGGTAATATTATGAATAAAATTAAAATTTAATTTATTCGCTTTCACAATGCTTCACGGAAAAGAATTGTCTGAGTTAGAAGTTCGAAATATTTGATTTTTTCAAAAGCTTTGAAAAGTCAGAAGTGAAGAATGTAAGTTAATCAAGCGTTCTAAAACTGCTGCTCATAGCTCATTATGTCATAATGTTATATGTTAGTGTTATTGTATAACAAAAACATGGCATCCTACATAAAATAATTATATTTAACAATCAAGTCAATATCTTTTACTAACATTCAATACATAATTATGAAAACGGAAACATCTTGATACAATGCAGAGTGTTCCGTGGTCTTCGTCCTTACATATATAATTTTAGGATCATCTTTTTTGTCAAGAATTAAGTTAAAAAAATATACAAATTAGGGGCTGCAATTTACTATTTAAGAACGGGAAAAAAGACTATATGAAAATCTTAAGAATGACTATTAAGATAAACGGAATTGAAAACTTTAAAACCTGTTTGATTTTATAACCATCACTGAACAACCAACCCAATTTTTTGAGTTATAGTAGCATGTATTTATTATTAATCTTTATTTTGTTCAATTGAGATTCTTAAAAAAATATGTTTCCTTTAATTAAAAAACATAAATTCATCGGAAAGGAAAACAAATGATAATAAAAAAAAGGAAAAAAAGAGGGATTATTTTAACTTTATTGTTTCGGTATATACTAGCTGTTCAATTAGTTATTTACTCTTCTACTTCCTACTCTGTGCGAAGAAATGGTATTCAACTAGTAGATAAATAATAATTTTGAACTGGTTTGGAGTGTTTTTTCGGTTAATGCAAATGTAGCTGTGCAATGTTAAGATGTAATTCAAAATGTTAATCAATAGAGCGATATAAACTGTAAATACATTTATTACATTAATATCTATGAAAAGTTGAGTTGTGGTGAGTCGTAAGTTTGTAAACTACTTTAATTGAAGAAATATATTTATGCCTAAAAAGTGCATCGAGAGCTAGGCCTTCTAGTCTAGCATGTAACTAAATTACTTTTTAATAGAAATACTATTTTTTTAAAATTATAGAAGTATACAAAAAAGAAAAATCAATTAGTCAAATTTCTATAGTATATAGGTAGAAACCTCAGAATAGTGTATGATAACAACATTGCGACAAAAAAATGTTTTATTCTTTAACAACTTCTGTCTCCATCATNTAAGTTTGATAGGGTAGTGATGAAATATATATATATATATATATATATACTTCATAGTAATATCAAAATGTTTAAAATTCTTAACTCTCCACTATGCATTTTCTTAAAATAGAAGAATAACACTAGGCTGATAGCTAATTTAAATGATGGCTTTGTAAGAGAATATTTAGAATGTCAGAGAAAGTCTCTTGGCAAAATCACCAAAAATAGAAAATATCATCCAACAAGAGTCTCTCCCTACTCAATTTCCTAAAAGGTAAATACATCTTTTTTCCTAGAAATTCTAGATAATTGACTGTTTAAACCAATATATGAATACATAGCCAACAAAGTGATGACTCAGTCGATATCCGACATTTTTAAAAGATGACATAGGATACCAGAAATACGATAAAGACTATTTCAAAATGCAAAGGACATTTTCCCAGAACGTAAACTGAGGGCTATTTTTGAGGTATCAAATAACTCTTCGTGGGTCTGTTGAAAGTTAAGCGACGCTTTAAAATCAATCTTAATCAGTTAAGCGCACGGAGAAAAATAATTGAGCTAAGAGTGTTTTATTGCTTATTGAAGGAAAGGGTAACAGTGACAATTCTTGTAGTTCTATAAACACTTGATTTATTTTTTAATGCCATGCATTTTTTGTGTATTTTATTTTTAATTAATTTTCTTTTAATAATAATGTAATAAGTTGCACTAGGTAAAAAAAAAAAGGGAGAGAAGAAAAGTAAAAGATATAGATAAAGAGTAAAAGATATAGATAATATTTTCTCAAAATAATGGTTCATAATTTCCCAAGTATTGGGGAGGGGTCCGGACCCCCTGGTTATGACACCCGTATTTAAACCAAAAGAGGTTCTTATGGAAAATATAAAAAAATCTAGTAGGAACCATAAATTATCAGCTCGGGAAAATAGATAAATTTTCAAATTCGCAACGAAACAGAACTTGTCTATTCACAAAATAACTCAACAAACAAGTATAAAGATCTTCCATACAGTAGTCTGGCGCACTTAGAGATCAATTCAAATGTTATCCTTTCAAAACTAAAAAGAAAACCAAGACTGTTTAAGCATCATAAGGAAGAGAGATTGCAAAAGTCAAAATAAATCATGACTTGGGATGCTATATGGAAAAATGTAATTTTTTTCCGATGAAAAGAAGTTCAATTTGGAGGGCCAGGATGATAATAATTACTACTAGCATGATTTGCGAACAGAACCTCGTGATTTCTTTGATTGGCAGATGGATGGTAGCTCGGTACACGGACTGATTTGGAACTTTTTTATATAATGGCAAACTCGACCATCGGTGAAGCTCTGAAAAAATGGGCTCTAGTTGTTATCAGCTACTTTATAAACACCTTATACCTTTTGATCCATATCTTACTTTCTAGGAGGGTCAGACTGTAAATTTAAGGAAGACAATGCGTCAATGCGTCCTATTTAACTAAAAATTCGTTTAATGAAAAAAACATGACCACCTAAACTGACCAAGTAGTAGTCCTGATGTTAATCATACAGAAAACTTAGGCCGGGGTAGCCTGGCTGGTAGGGCACTGGGCTCATGTCGAAAAGATCGTGAATTCGATCCCTGCCTGCCGAAGACTCCCCGTGTAGTAAGTGGTGACTGATGCACGTTAAATCTGCCGGGTCATAAAGTCCTCTTTCTTCCCATAACAAATCAATACCTCTGGGGGATCCAGAAGGTCTTCTGTATTGGAATCAAAGTTGCAAAGATATGGAGTTGAACATAGTAGTTAGTAGTCGTAAACCC